AGCAGAGCTGCTCCATCCCTCTGAGCATCCTGGTGCCTCCTCTGGACTGGCTCCAGCAGCTCCCTGTCCCTCCTGTGCTGTTCCCAGGGCTGGAGCAGCTCTGCAGGGGGGTCTCACCTGAGGGGCAGAGGGGCACAATCCCCCCCTGCCCTCTGCCCACGCTGGGGGATCAGCCCAGGGTGAGCTGATGATCCACTTGTGGCATCCCCGTCCCTGTGGACCACAGGGCAGAACGAGATGGGGAAGGAGCCAAAGAAGGAACTAAACAAGCTTTATTGGGGCAGGGGCAGCGGGGCCCGGCCCCGGGACAAGGCGGCGGCAGGCGGGGGCTGCCGGGTTAAGGCAGTGAAGCAGCCACTTCCTTCATGGTTCCATTTCTCCTTCACAGTCCAGCCCCGCTGTGGCGCAGAGTGAGGAGGGGGTAGCAGCAGGTACCTGGGCAGGAAGGGGGAGCTGGGAGAAGGAGCTGGTTCTGCATCCTGCTGACAACCCAGCGTCGGGAGAAATGCAGACTGAAAAAATAAATCCCTTTTCCCAGCACCAGGGCACAGTGGTTTGTAAAAAAAAAATACTTCATCTTCCTCAGGTGGGTCTGGGGTTGTGGTTGTCCACGATTCACATGCAGCTGCTGGTTCTGTTTCATCCTCCTGCTGCACAGAAGCAGCTCCACATCACGTGTTTGCTACTGAAGTTAGTAAAAAACAACAACCCCAAACCCAGAAAGCAAATCAACAAACCCAAAACAAACCCCCCACCATTCCCGAATGGCCACCCCTGGGTGTTGTGGCACCAACATTCCTGGCAGTGGCCTGTTCCTAACTTTCCCTGCGCTCTCGTTTGAAAAGAGCAGCTGCTTTCCAGGTAGCAATTGCATGAGAGAGAAGAATCTCATCTGGGAATGTCTCTTGCAGCTCTGTAGCTAATTCAGAGTCTTTGGCATCAAGGTAAGGCAGGAGCGATTCCTTCAGGCTGGAAAACAGAGCAGAAGTAGCATTAATAGCTACAGCAAACCACAAGTGCCATGTAATATTTGTGTATTCCCACCACCCAAAATACTAAATACACACAGCTTAACAGGTGTGTTTGTAGTGAGGAGGGTTAAGCAGCCCGTTGGATTTACAGAGAGGCTGCAGGACCCAGCAAGGGCAGGGTGCAGGGCAGAACTGAGCTGTTGGGGCCGAGGTGTGCCTGTGAGAGCTGAGTGGGCTCCTCCTGGAAGGTTGGGCTTGATGATCTTGGAGGTCTTTTCCAACCTTAATGAGCCTGTGATTCTGTAATGATTCTATCCAAGTGCCTGCAGAAGTGCTTGTGCTCCTGAGCAGCAGCTCCTGGTGTATTCCAGCAGTGCTCCCAAAACAGCTCATGGAAAAGGAAGTCACACATGCCCGAAATGGGCAGTGTGTCTCAGGACTAAGCTGGATATTTCTAATGTTGCTGGTTGTGCTGTGTCCCCACAGGACAGGCATTTGCCAAGGGAACTGTTCCCACCATGTGCATTCTCAGAGGCAGAGAAGCCTCAGTTAACAACTGTGGTGGGTTTGGGCTGCGTAACTCCTACCTCCACTTGGGTCTGAACTCATCCACAGCTTGGGCACGTCTCAGCTTCAACACAATCATTTCATGGAGCTCCTGCAGGAAGGTTTCCAGCCTCGAGTGGACGAGGAAGGTGTGGAGGAGCTTGGCAATCTCTGGACTGAGCTCAGCTTTGTAGTCTCGACTGACATCTGCAAACGGATCCTAAAAACGCAGCGAGGGGAAAAAGACAACCAGACAGACACATTTGAGCAGGCTCCTTGAGAGCAGAGGAGGAGCTGGTCAGAGTTCTGGGGGTGTCATACCCTTCTGAGGCGCAGCAGCTGCTCGGATTTGCGGGTGGAGAGGAGCTGCCACAGGGCTATGCTGTGTTTGAGGTGGCATCGTCTGAGGGCCTGCAACAAAAACACAGACACAGATGCAAGGGATGGCTTTGGGAGCCTGTCCCCAGCCTGCTCTACCCAGGCAGGTCACAGCTCAGCAGAGAGTTCATCCAGCCCTTTAACCTGGTTATAGCCTGCCTGCAACAGGCCTCTCTCCCCTTTCCCCATTTTGCCTTCAATAATCCATCTGTTTGGTACCATGAAAGGGAGTGGGAAAGTCATAGGGCTGTCACATGCACTGGTCACAACACTGTGCCTTTGCCCTGGGCCTCTCTTCACACTCATTAGGAGATAAAAAACCTTCCCCATCACCAGTTTAGAGAGACAAAGGGATGGTTTCAGCCCTGCTCAGCACCAGGCCAGTGTCACCAGGAGCTGACTCAGATCTGAAGTTCTCCCTTTGCTCAGTTTTAGCACTGCAGTAATTCTGCTGACACTCCATTGATCCTTCTCCTTCCCGTGCTGTCAGAGCCTGGATCTGCAGAGGAGCCTGACCTTCTGCACCTCCCTGCACCTGACCTTTCTGGTGGTTTGCAGGAACCTGCTGAGCATCACAAGCTGTCAGGTGCTCCCACCTTGCAAACAGTGGTTGCAGGGAGAGTGAAAATTGCTTCCCCCTCACTGTTGAATGTGGTAGGGAGGGAATTTGATCACCCTGTCAAGCTAAACTTTTGCTGGGCTTGAAGGTCACACTGGCTGGATTTAGCATAAGCCAGTGCAGATTTTACCCTGTAAGAATCAGAGTTGTGCCCTCAGGACTCACCTGCAGAACATGAGGGTTTGTCTGGTCCCCCATCTGCAGAACTTGTTCAATGTAGTCAGTCAGTGGCATCTCAGCATTCTCCCCAGCCATGGCCAGGAAGCCCAGGGTGATTTCAGTGAGGGACAGAGCATCACAGACATCACTGTAGGACTGCAGCTCCCCACTGATCATGTTCATCGCAGAACTGGGCAGAGCACTCTGAAAACCAGGAAGTCAGAGCTAATATTAGTTTAGAGCCATTCCTTATTGCTGCTTAAGTTGCTAAACTCATGGAAAAGGACAGAACCTCAGATGTAGGACACTGAAATGCTGAACTGTCTCCCTTTCCTTTGTAAATCCAGACTGACAACACAAGTCCAGACTGTACATATTCAAGGTATGCTGAGAGATCAGTGGGCAAGCCTTCAGACAGACAAGGCAAGGGACAGAAAAGCCAAGAGTTCTTGGGAAGTCAGGGGTCTCATGTTTGCCCTGTTTCCTCCAGTGCAGAAACCCACCTGCTCCAGCTTATTCCTGACATCAGTAAACAGCTGCTCATAGTTCCGGTCATGTCTGCACACGAGGGTAGGGATTCCCTGTCAGAGGAGAGAAACCCAGGGCTGTGAAGCTCTGGAGACACTGCCCACCCTGCACAGTGCATGCCTGGCAGCAGCACCCACTGCAGGGCCCCCCCAGCCAGGGGGCACAGCCCCTGCCCTGTCCCACCGTCAGCGTGATGAGCGGCTTCCCCTGCAGGAACTTGCTGATGACTTGCTGCTGGATCTTCTCCAGATCAAAGTCCTGCAACGTCTCCCCTCCCTTTTCCATGCTGTACTGGCAGTTGGACAGGATCAGAGGAATCAGGTCTCTCTCCACCTCGTAACTGATGAGATGCAGGTCAGCCACTTCCGACGGGCTGATCACGTACCTGCAGGGGAGCAAACGGCCTCCATCAGAGAGAGGAGCCTTCCTGCAGCAGGAAAGCTGCCTGTGTGGGAGCAGGAAATGAAACAGAGCCCGAAAAATGGAATAGCAACACACCTGTCATCTTCCTTGATGTGTTTGTTCACTGAGTGGATGAAGTCGTTGTGCAGACCGATGAGGTAACTGGCTAGGGCGGTGGAGCAGAGGCCCAGCCCCTGCCGCCGGGGCAGAAGGACCTCGAGCTTGCTGTCCAAGGTCAGGTCAGCATCACAGTAGCCTTTAGGGAGCTTAATTTCTCCTGAAATAAAGAGAAGACTGTTTAAGGTGGCCCAGAGGCAGCCCAGGCTGAGCAAGCCTCTCCTGAACTGACCCACGGCAGGAGAATGTAGAGCCTGAGAAAAGCTGTGCTCTCTGCATTAGGGATCAGCACTGAAGCACACGAGTTCAGGTGAGAATACTACAGGAGGGAAACAAATTCTTCCACTTGTGCCTGGATGATCTTAAAATTTAATGGCCAAGCTCATTTTTGAGGATATGTCTCAGCATCACTGACAGGAGGAACCTGAACTGTGAAAGAGGAGCAGCACTGGGAAAGAAGGTGCTCACCATTGGTGTCCAGAGAGCTTCTCAGCTTGTTCCAGACAGACAGAAACACATTCACTCTCCTCTGTAACAGGTCCCTCATCACATCTGAGGAACAACAGAAAGACAACTCCATGAAACACCTGGCAACACCGTGAAACTCCGTAATGCAGGAATTTTCAAAGCACACCACTGAACTCTAGGCAACTGTTCAAACTGCTCGAGAGACTAAACAGACATTAAACATTTTTCTAATGGTATCAAATGGAATCATTTGCTCTGTTTGTTCATATTTTTGTATTATTATCTACTATTGACCCAGGTTGGATTGATCCTTGGTCTGATTCTGCATAACCTTATGTACTTCAGTACTTTTCCACAAGTACTTAAAAACATCAGTAATTGTACTTAAATACAATTGAAGGAGTCTGTTCAGGAAAGGAAGGAAAGCACATCTATTCCACCCTTTAGGTAGGCCCTGCTCTGGGGCTGAGCTTAGAGAGTGAACATCCCACTGATGCACTGAGGGATTTCTCTTGCCTGTGTCTGAGCAGAGCTCCCATCCCTTGTGAAAAATCCCTTTGACTTAATTCCCTTTAAAATCACCTGGTGACCTTTCCAACCATAACTCCAGGATTAAGGCCTCCAGTTCATTTGGATGGGAATTAAAAAGAAATATGAGGTCTTAAGATTGCAAGTTCAAGAGAAGTTTTCACCTTCAGTTTTCAACTGGACAATCCAGCACTTTCTATTTCAGTAATTAGAGTTTTGGCAGAGTCTTCTCACCTGAGAGGGGTTCTCTGAGGAATTCCCTGATGGAGCAGCGTTTGATCTCAGCAGTGTTCTGGAATTGCCTCACCAAGTCCCTCTGCAGAGCCAGAATCTCTGGCAGGAATTTCACCAGCCTCAGTTCAGTTTCCTGGAAGAGGAAAGGGAGCCTGTGAGGGTAAGGCTGTGCTTGGACAAACCAGTTTTGGATACTTTTATGGAATTGCTTTTTAAATGTTTAAAAGACAACAATATTTCCACATGCATTCTCAAGATTATAGCAATTGGTGAGAATAAAGTCACTGGATAATCCAAACATGGTTTAGTCCTGGGCAACTGGCTCTGGATGACCCTGCCCAGGCAGGGGCTGGAGCTCCAGGGTCCCTTCCCACCCCAAGCAGTCCTTGGCTCTGTGCTCTCTGAACATTCCAGGCTCTCATCCCTGTGTTCCCCCCACCTTCTGCAGGAACTTCCAAAGGAGAGGGACAGTGTCCTTGGCATTCTTTTGCTGGACAACATGGCCCAGGTTCTCCACTGAAATCCTCTTCCTGCAGCTCCACATCTTGGAGTGATGTATGTGGCTGTTCTTTGGCAGCTGGGACAGGAATGCAGCTGGGTCACCATACACTATTTTCACTATGGGATTGGAAGAAATTCTCTCATCCTCTTGTATCTGTTTGTTTAACTTCAGAAGACTTTTATCCAAATCCTGCATTAAAAAAAAAAAAAAAATTGGACAAATGTTTTCAACTGAGTTAAGCCATTTCTGCTTTTCCAGCTGTACAAAATCAACCCAGCACAACTCGAATCTCAGACTCTCATTTCCACAGGTAGAATAAAGTTGTCTGATCCTTAACCTGCAGCTGTGTCATGGACAGGTTGGCTTTAGGAACAGCTGGGTGAAAAGTGTAGCAGAGGTATTACAGCAAGCCAGATTTCCACATAAATGCATTTTGAACTGCTCAGCTACTGACATTTTGTCCAGAAAATTTCTCACCTTCAATTCAGGAACAATAATTGTGTTTGCAACAATTTCTTCCCATTTGTTTCTCTTCTCCTTGGTAGAGAGAACAGGATCAAACCGCACTGGCCCTGCAACAGGAATATTTCATCTCTTACAGCTGCAACAGGTCAGTGAAAAGAGAGCACAGGTTCTCTCAGTGACATTCCTGATGGGACATCCTTGCAGGTCAGCATGAGGAGCAAGAGCAGTTGCAGAGGTCCTAGAAGCTAAATGAGTATCTGGAGAGTGACACCCAAACCAGCACACACGTGAATGATGGGGACACTTGTACAAGTCATTCACCCAGAAAGGTTAAACAGCTTGTCCAAGGTCAGACCATGATCGATGACAGACTGAAGCTTGGAATACTGACTGGTGCTGTCACACACAAAATATGGTCATTACATATAAATCCCTCCATGACACAGTGACATGTCAACTTGCACCCCAGATTCTCCCAGAATCACACTCTGCCAGCCCTCTTCTACCAAAGATCTCCTTGGGAGTCATTTAGAGGGCAGCACAGAATATAGATTGCACACAGCACGAGCTGCTGTGCTGGGAGCATCCCCCCCTCTCGGGAGCTGGAGGCTCTGCCAATCTGTCATGACGTTATTTAGTCAATAATTCATTTTCAGAAGTATCGACTGCACCAAACCTTGCAAACCCCAGGTACCCGACTGAAAGAAGCAAATGGCCAAAAATTCTTCACTCCCTACAGTAAGAAACAAGTTCCAAATTCAGGATCTTCCTCATCAGCTCAGCTACTGCTGCTGGAAGTGGTTTATCAGCCAAGAGGCTGCGTCACTGCGGCCCTTCAAACACAGCTGGGATATGGCAGGTGGGTTTTCTTACACTGGCCTGGCTGCTGAGGGGGGTCCTGGAGGAGGCTGCTGAGCACAAGATGAAGGGTGTTGATAGTCTCATCCACACTCTTCCCCAAAATTTTTGTCAGCTGTTCCAAGTCCTCCTGGACGTGCTCCTGCAGGAAGCTGACGGCGTCGCGCACCCGCGGCTTGATGATCCTTCCCAAGGACTGAAGAGCGACAAAAGGCAAGAGCTGAGCACAGCCAAAAATGCCCAGGGAAGCACAAGGCACCCAGAGCTCAGTCCTGCCAGACTCCACCCCATGGGATTCCTGCCACTGGAGCCACTAAAGGCAGCTGTGGGTGTATAAACATCCACGGAAGTGCATGAAGGAGCCAAAATCATCCCCGGGCAAGGAGGGAAGGGAATTTGGGTCTTGCACCTGGACAGACTGCCCTGGTTACTTGGCAATGTGATGAAAAGGACCAGCAGTGTACAAAGGTTTCACTACATTCTGTGTGGCCACCTGGGGCCGTTTCTGGAAGATACCTGAGGGTCTTTAGTGGCTCCCAGCAGCATCGACAGGTGCGTGAGCGAGCGGATCAGGACAAAGACAACGGGGGACATGCCCCGGTCAGACACTCCCAGTGTTCTTCTGTGCTCAACATCTCCAAGAATGTGGCCAGTTTGGGTTCTGTCTTCATTATTCCTGTAGGAAAGTGTATATATAGTACTTTTTTGCCTTGACCAAAACCACACAAGGCATCTCTGATACCCAGTAATGTCTTTTTAACCCATAGGGTCTTTGAATGCCACAAAAGCTGGCAATTAAAAGTGCTACAGGGGAGCAGAGGCTTCCAGTAAGTTTTGTACACAGATAAGCTGATTTGTTTGCTTTTGCTGGCTGATTACTCTCGTTTGGACATCCCTTCCTAACATTCCAGAGAGCAGTGGTCGGTACCTTTGGCCTGGAAGGCATGACAGGCAGGTCCTGCATCACTTAGCACTGAAAGGGTGAAGGAACCTACCGGAATTCCGTGAAGCCCGGCACGGGTGTGTAACGGACCCCTCCGATGGGGAGGTGGCATTCCAGACAGCGGCCCACCTCCACGGGGCGGCCACACTGGGAAAGGAAAAGGAGAACACTGAATTCCACAGCAAGAGCCTCTCCAGCAGGAAAAGGGAATGAAACAAAAATCCAAGCTGTAACTGCTTAATTAAAAACCCTTCTACACACCCTGGGCACGGGGCCTCTGCTTCATGTTTCCTACATTTATGGCAGAACAGCCTTAATGCAGCTTATGAGATTTAGATTACAAAATGATTAATAATATTGAGTTTAGAAATTGAACTCTGTGCAATAGAACATTAAAACCAGTAAACAAAATAAAAACAGTTTATTGCTGAAAACAGTCTGCTTGAAAACCCACCAGTCCCAAATTCTTACCTCTCCCACAGTGCAGGGGTGGCCATTGGGACATGCTATCAAGAGAGAAACAAACAGGACAGCGTTATAAGACAAAGCCCCTGTTATTTCCTTTCATAGGCAGCAACATCCTGGAGCAAGAAATATGCTTCAAGATCTAACCTAAAGCCCTGAATGTCACAAACCTCAAAGGAATGAAAGGCCTACACAGGAACTCAAGGAATTTTTCAGTGCTGCTTCTCCTTGAAAACAAGGAATGGAAGCCTGAAAGATTCTGCTCTGAGGGCCAAAGTGGCATTCCTTCAGGAATGCTCCCAGCCCCAGACTCCCAGGCTGCAATGAGGTCCTACTGTGGGGAGAGAGACTAAAAGTTGGCTAGGAAGGTGGCCCAGTGCTCTTCTCTCACACTTGTGAACATTGCCACAAGTGACAGGACAGGTCGTGTGCCCCCTAAAACTCTGCAAACAGCTGCAGACTGAAGGCTAAACAGACATTTGATGCACTTCGGTGCATCGCCCACACAAACCTTCATTATAAATGTTGATTTACAAAGGATAACTCCTGCTGAAGAGTGTGTTTGTCCTCACACTTGGAATTCCAAACCCAATTCCAAACCCTTCAATCCCTTCCAAAGTCATCCAGGGGCACTTACTGTACCAGCGCAGAGCGGCCACTCCCTCCCAGGCCCTCGCCTGAGCCATGATGTCCTCTGGCATTGTGGGCAGGAACGAGTGCTGAGGGGGAAAAAGGGAAAAAGGTGACAAATGGATCTACAAATCAGTTCTTTCCTGTAGCAGTTGCTCACTGGTTCTTTATTCACAATGGGGAACATGAGACATCTGAACACAGAGTTCAGGCAGGTGACGTAGACACAGATCTTCAAATTCTGCCTTTGAAAATCCACTCTTAGAACTGTCTGTATTGTTAAGACTTGCATGTGCACTCTCCAGACATCCTGAACTGGATTACTGATGCACCCTGGTGTGTACCAGCCATTTCCTTACACTTTAGGTAGCTCCACCCTGACTCAGGAGCCAGTGTTCCCTGGAGCAGGCAGGTCTGCACAGCAGCCACTGCTTCCAGCTCTGCTCACTCAAATACCAGCAAAACTATTTTCTTGATACTGTTCAGGATGCAGAGGTACCTTTTTAAGGCTGGACCTTGTTGTTGTGCTATTTAACCCCAACAACACTGAAATAATCACACATTAGCATTTCATAGCTTTTGATGTCATGATGTTAAGAAAGGTCAGGTTACAGAGGATCCCACAAACACAGGAAAGAACTAGAAATATGCTGAACTGCATATGAACTGCATCTGCATCTCTTTACCTCCATGGTGTGTGGCTGGAAGGCCAGGTTCCTGAGGGGCTGCAGGACGGGGCTGTGCCCACACAGCAGCACAGCAGTGGTGTGAACAGCCACCTCAACCAGTGCCCTGTGCTGGCTGGAGCTCTGGGGGTCCACGCTCAGGGCTGGCAGGGCATTCCCCACAAGGGCAGCTGCAAAGTGCTGCAGCTCTGGAGAATTCAGGACTTGGGAGTTCTGGATGAACTGAGTCATCGTGGCTGTTTGCTGAAAGAACACATTGAAAAGAAATACACCCAGCATGACACTGCCCAGCCCAGTGAAGAGGACTGTCAGCTGCTTCCCACGCTGGGCTACCCCGCTTTGAAAACACTCCCAGACTGCCCAGCCTGGGACATCACCATGTCTGGGGCAGAGGAACAAAAGCTCTAACACCTCTGACTCAAATCTCCTTTATCCTTTTCCACGAAGCAGGTTTGTCACAAGCTTCCACAGGGGAGGGTCTTACCTGCTGCTTGGGATGAAGGCTCGGGTCCCTGGCACTGTACAGGGCAGTGACCTCCCGGAAAATGGCCAGGAGCAGGTGGACTGATTCCACGGCTGGGGAGCTGCTGGAGGCCTGGAGAAGAATAGATGATGTGGCAGGGAACAGAACAGAGCTGTCCCAGCTACAGTGGCTGCACATGCAGGTGAGAAAGCAAAGAAAACACGTGTGTCTGCAGCACAAGGCACCGTGACCTGCAAGCAGAGGCCCCTCAGGTACCTGCACGGGAACAGACACTGCCCACAGGGACACAGAGCTGAAAGAGTGGCCATCCCAACCCCAGCAGGTCCTGGTGAGGGGTGGGCTGTACCTTCTCGGCCTCGAGGAGCCCCTCAGCCGTGCCCTCCACCATGGCCCGTCCCACGGCGTCGCGCAGGGCCCGGTACCTCTCCCCACACGCCAGGTACCGGTCGATGGGGTTGGCCTGGCTGCTCTGGACCTGCAGAGGAACGACCCATGGAGAGCACTGTGGGCAACAGCCAGCTGTTGGTGAAGGCAGAATCTCCTCTTCCTCCCCAGCACTGGGGCATTTCAGCCTTCCCAGAGAGGCAGCAGCAGGCACAGCCACCCAAGGGCTCTGCACAGCCAGGAGAGACTCACACAACAGCAGAAACACCCCAAAGCAGCACAAAGTGAGGATGAAGAGGAGCCCAGAACCATCTCCAGGAGACACCTCTTCTTTACCTGTCGCAGGATTTCCGCTGGGAACACCCACTGGAACCGTGGCTCTGTGACAAGCTTCTGAGCAAACTCCATCCCATACTGACTGGCAACCCTGCGGACCAGGTACACACGATGCCAGTCATTCCCAGTGAGGCTGCAGAACCTCCTCACACTTGCCAGGTAACGCTGCTTCTCCTCTGCCTGGTCTTGCTCTGGATGGGGAAAAAAAAAAGGAAAAAGGTAAAAGCACATCCCACCTTTTAAAACTTCTGTCTGCACCAGTTGTAGCACCAAATCCCTTTACTAGTACTGAGTAACTACACGGGAGAACTTTAGAGCCCTCTCTTCCCCAGGTGTTGTCTAGAGCATTTCCTCAGCCAGGTTTCAGACAATGATTCATTTCTTTGACAGAGAAGATATAAACTCTTTGATATAAACTCTTAATCCCTTTTAGTTGCACAGAGCTCTCATTCCTATAAAACAGTAAACCTTACAGCAGTCATGTGTCTGAAGCAGAATTTATGCTTTAAAGTTCAATTGAGTGGGCTCTAAATAAAAGTCACTGTTAGAATCTGAAGGATAAAACAAATCTCCTTCCAAAGGTGTAATTGCCACATGATGACACCTTTGGAGTCACCAGCACAGCCTTGCTACCAGTTATAGAGCACTTCTCACACATGGTACAGGGGACAAACACCAACTGACACCCTCAAGAGAAGAGAGACTTGCTCTTGTTCTTGGCCACACATCAAAGCAGGTTCAGCAGAGCACGGGTGCACTGACTGCATCCAGCCCACCTGCCCTGGTGCCTTTGCTCTGTATCCAGCATTCCCATTTTCCAGCAGACTAATCAGGCTTACGTGTGTGCTGCTGCAAGTCAGAGATGAGCTCTGCAGCCTTGCTGAGGTACAGGCGGACCTTGGCCACTGCCTGCAGGTATTCCACGGATGATTCCTGAGGAGTCTCTCGGTTGCTCCCTGGGAGATAGTTCTCTGGAAAGCCTTCACTTCCAAGCAGATTGTTTATATGCTCATATCCAAGGCTGTCCTCAGACTTTTCACACAGGGAATCCTAAAGAAGGGCCAGGATGTGGCATGAGCAGCAGAGACACTTCAGTCAGCACTGACACCCACACTGCAGTGAGCACAGCAAACCCACATCTCTCCCTGCACCTTCCTCCCCACTGCCATTAGCTCCTCCCTGTGACCTCTCCAGTGCTTATCCTAAACCTCTGCAACATCACCAAACACCATTTTTACAGTGTGCCCCAGCTGTCCCACATTCCCTAAGCATGGAGCCAAGCAAGAGCCACGAGCAGGCTGACCGGCCACACACACCCCATGTCCCAAGGTGCCAAGCTTTACCTGTCCCTTAGGAAGAACACAAATGTTGATTTTATAAAGAAACCCTTCTACAAGAAACTCTAGCTAGTCCCTGAGAGCAGGTTCTGACCAGGTGATTTGATATCAGCTTCCTTTTGGGCTTCCCAGTTGGACAACTAGTTATTGTACACAAGAAACTTGCCTAAAATAGCAGTAGAGTTTCTATTCCTGACTTTTTTTATTCCTGCAACAGTTTCAAGGCCCAGCTAATACTTCCCCAGCACTCTTACCTCTATGCAGTTGACAAAAAGTAAGTAGAGCTCTTTTTTGTCATTTTTCTCTAGGAGCTCGTTGTGCTCCACCTGGGACAGGTAGTGCTGCACATCATCTTTCACTTCATTGAAGCTACGGGAGAGAGAAACACCCCCTCACACAGCTGCCACGCTGAGAGCTACTACTCATGTCCTAAATCACAACAGAACCACCAGTGATGCCTGTGTGACATGTGGGGTCACTCTGGATCCAGCTGGAAGATGGAAAAGCCATTAGGCCCCGTTTTGCAGATGCCATCTGGCTTCACAGCCTGAGCCAGGCTTCGATCGCCAGCGATGCTCAAGGAGCATTTCCAGGGCAGAAGGCATCTGATCTGCTTTAAGCATCTGATTTAGGAGGTGATCACACCTGAGAAGTGGCTTCTGAGCCCTGCCTGCAAAGGGAGGCTGGGAGAGCTGTGGGAACGGGGCGGTCTGTGGAGCAGACAGATCAGTCCTGTGGATGAGGAGCACTGCTTTGCTGACCTGGAGCAGAGCAGTCAGCCAGCTACCTTCCAGCCACCCAGCCATCCCCCTTCAGCACAGGGCTGGGTCAGGAGCAGCCAGGGAAACCTTGGCACAGCCTGCTCAGATACTCCACCACAAGCTCCATGCAAGCCAGCCAAGCTGCATTGCTAATGCAAAGGCCTGGGATGAATTTCCCCTGCAAGGATTCAAATTCAAGGAATAGCATGGAAGTGAGAGCAGTGATCAGATTGGCTCAGTGGGGTTGTGAGCAGAGCTGAGCCATGCCCTGATACAACACCCCTCAGCTGTCCCACTGCTCACCTGTACTTCAGGAGCAGCTTCAGCATCACTGAGCGGATGATGGGAGTTTCATCCACCTCATCATTGAACGGGGACAGGAATTTTGTGTAGACAGCAGGGTGATCTGTGGAGAGCAGGAAAAGACAGGTTTGGCAGGTGAGAGAAGGTGGTGGCAGACAGCTCCATGAGGCTGAGCATCAGGGTGAAGGGAGCTCACCTGAATCTTTCAGGAGGCTTCTGTGAACAAACAGCAGATCAAGGAGTCTCTGGATCACCTTCGTGTCAGGGGGTTCGTTGTCCTTGAAGCACATGGTAGTGACAACATCTATGAAGAAATTGTTGCACCTCTGCCGGAACAGGGCATTCCTTGCTATGGCATCTCTGGGGAAGGGTAAAAGCATTGAGACAGTGTTCAAATACAGAACCACTTAAATACAGAATGTTCAAATACAGAACCACTTAATGGAGGAATCATGCAGATAAAGGCAAAAGTCACCAAGGTGAGATACTTTTCCAGCTTTCCAACTAGATGATCTTCAACCCAAATCATTCTATGATTCTGTAATTTACTGTTTTCTTACAGGGGCCAAGGCAGCTTCTTCCTTCTTTTGAAACAACAGACAGAATGGACAGGACCTGTTTGGTTCCAGAGGGAGAGAAGCAGAGTTCCCTCCCCCATTCTGCTCATGGTGACAACCTCAGAGTGGAGAAATTCCTCACCACACCTGCCCCACTGCAAGGCTCCCCCCCTTGGAGAGGGTGGAATACCTGATCTCCTTGGAGACTGTTAACTCCACATCCCCCACAGCGGCTCTGCAGCATGGACAGTGCATCTGTGCTGGCACCAGCCACGTGCTGATGCACTTGTGGCAGAACACATGGTTGCAAGGCAGGCAGATGGGATCCTTCAGCTCTCCCAGGCAGATGGGACATGGCTTCAGACCATACCTGTAATCCAGAAACAACAGTGAACACAACTGCTTCCATGTTGTCTTATCAAAAGCCTTTAATAAGATGCTCATCTGCAACTAGACCAAGAGGAGATAACACCAGACCAGCTGGCTCACTGCTCAGCCCAGGGTGCAGAATCAAACGGGGTTATTGCTCTCATTTGGCTTTCACTACAACACATGAAGTGCTGCCTTATCCCCAGAAATGTGCTGGCAACGTGGGCCATGTCCCTGCCTGTCCCCCTGTCAGTACCTGTAGAGCCTGCTGCTGACCTCGTCCTTACACTCCCACAGCACTGTCATCACTGCAAGAAAAGTTGGATGAGTCTTCATGTCTGAACCGTGCTGGAAACACTGCAGAGGGAGAGGACAAAGCTCAGTGACTCAGCTCTAACACCCGAGACAAAAATCCCCATGATCAGCAGAAGCGAAGAGGGAAGAGGTGAAATCACAGCTTTACCTTGGCAAGACGCAGAGTGTATTTTTTCACTAAAATCTCGAATTCTGGCATCACAGTGTTGATGCCAAACAGCACGTGTTCCACAAACAGAGCCATGGCAAACACCCGGTTCCAGCAGACTCTGTGGGAAGGAGAGCAGGGTTTCAAACAGAACATTATGAGCTGAGAGCAGGAATGGCAGTGCAGTCGGGTCAGTCAACAATCTCACTGCTTTTCATGCTCCCCATTACAGCAATTCTGCACTTCTCATGACGTTCTTACTTTGCCCCTTTGTTATCCAAAGGGATTTTTGTGAAGGGCAGAACACACACAGCACCTAACCCAGGGGCCTGGCCTGGAGGCAGCACTGCAGCAGGACCAACACCACTGCACACACCTTCCCACACCTCTAACTTCTATAGGAAGAAAGTAATTTAAAAAATACTAATCACAATTAACTATGTTTTCTTCATGTCAAATAAACTAAACAAGCTCTGTGAGAAATTAGGGTATCTCTCCAGGCTTTCTTCTAAAAGACAAGATGCACTGAAATTCCCCACCTCCCACAGCCTTTATGCCCAGGGGATGAAGTGGGGAGGCACTGCTGGTTGACAGGAACCTGAGGAGAGTTTTAAATAACCCCTGAACCCAGATGGAATGCACCGGATGCTACTGCCAGATTTAGAGGGAGAATCCACAGGAGATGAGTGGAAAAAATGTGGTTCTTGCTGCTTGGTATGTAATTGAGCCCAGCAGGAATCTGGAAAGGTTTGCAAAGTCTGAGAAAAGCAGCACCAAGCAGCTTCAGGCTGTACCAATGCCCTAATTACCAGCCAGGCAGAGGAGCAGGGCTGTGAGCAGAGCTGTGGTACCCACCTGAGTTCCCTCAGCAGCTGATGGCACCGACTCCCACCCTGCTGTGCATCCTTCTCTTTACACAGAAATTCAACGGGCATCTGGAGGTTCCTCACTCTCTGTAGCCAGACCTCTGGGGGGGATGTCAGCACCTGGTTCTCCAGCTCTTCAGCACACACCAGTGCAGCCAACACATCCAAAACCTGGACACAGACACAGGGGCCAAGTGTAACACAACAGCTGCAGTTCAGAATTACTCATGGACCTTGCTAGAGCACAGGGTCTACTGAATAACATTCCACTTGATTATGTTAAGCTCTGGAATTCTCATGCCTGTGGCTTGGCCCCTTAGGACTGTTTTAACTAATGCAAAAGCAGGGCAAACTATTCTAAAACCTGCCAGTAGCAATAACAACACAGCAGATCATTCCTAATTCTGAGGATCCTGAGCTTGTGCTTCCCCCTCTGCTGCTGTTGAAATCCAAAGGAGACTGAACTCCAGCCAACTCAGTGAAGACAGAGCTCCCTGCTAGGGCCGAGGACCACAAAGTGCCTGGCAGCGACTCTACCATCTCTGAGCGTGGAACTCCACATCCTTCCTGGTTGATGAGGTAGACAACCACACGGGGGTTCACAGCCAGGATCCTGGAGAGGTTCTGCAGGCGGCTCCTGAACTGGTTGTATGCCAGGTGGACCCAGGGCAGGGTGGGCACGGGCTCCTCTCCCCGGGGGGACGCGGCTGCCCACTCGGCCACGCAGGACACGAACGCGGAGCGCAGGCACTGCGGGGGGAGGAGTTAAACCAACATTAAAAAAGGGCTTTTATATAATTAGTTTTGCACCAGAAACACTGGCAAAATCCTCTGAGAGAAGAGAGTCAGTTCCTTACAAAGAGTCTTAAACGTGTCAATTTATACGGGTGCTGCTTTCTGAGCAATCTCAGCAGCCACTCAGTGGCAAAGCACCTGCTTGGGGTGCCCTTGCTGTTGGTCTGTCTCAGAGGGGGATTTTCTCTGAGAGGCAGGACTGATTCAGGAGGACACGTTCACAAGCATCACGCTCTTCTCTCCATCCAAAGGGTTTCCAGCTCTTGTTCCAGACACTGACCTGCAGCTCCACTTGGGAGGAGACATTGATGGTCAAGGAAATAAAGTCTGTGATGTAGCACTGGAAGAGCATCTGCCTGTCTTCCTCAGGCAGAGCAGAGATAAATTTTCCCAGGGCAGTTTTCTGGAAGATATCCACAAACTTCTCAGTATGGTCTGGAAAACGAGAACGCAGAAAAAAGCTGGATATTGGGAGGAGGTTGGCTTTGACACAGCATCTATCCTAGACAGACTGACACCTAATTAATCACTGATGCATCCAGCACTCCCCTCATTCAGGGCACTAATGAGGGACTCAGGCCAGGCCTTGTCAGCCCAGCACCAGTGTCGTATTTCTGGAATCTCACCTTGTCATTAACTCTTGGCACCTCCACAGTATTTTGAATGCAAGGGCACAGATAGGTGGGGAAGATTAATAGTGAGAAGCACAAAGAAAAGCTGCCTGCACAGAGCTCTGCTGGCTTGTAGGAGCACAGAGGGACTGAAGGTGACTCCAGTGTCCTGGAGGGGCACAGCAGTGACAAACCAGAGCTCACAGGGCAGGTGGAGATGCTCAAGCCAGGCTCTCACCTTCAGTGGTTTGGATGTATTGAGCTTCCAACCACATCTCATCCAGGTACTCCTTTATCCTCCAGCTGAAGGGCATCTCATTCCCAGCATCAGCAGACACCACCATGTTGTTCTGCACCAGAATTATCTCTGGCTGAGAGCTGGGAGATTAAAAGGTCATTAATGCACTGGGCTTTTGCCTGGGAAGCACATTCAGACAACAGAGGCAGAAGGTGCAGAAAGCAAGAAATCAGCCCTAGGAGGGGACAAGAGAAGGGGAGAGAACTGCAGGGCTCTGATACAGCTCATTTTGCCAGCTGTGGAGCACCAGCACTTCCTCAGCCAGCATTCCCTGGCCAGAGGGCTGTCCTGGCAGGACACGTGGGCTGCAGGGGCTGGGCAGGACGTGGCAGTGACCTGTGCAGCCCCCAGCAGTGCCCAGGGCACAGCACAGTGTCCCTCTGCCATGTGGGATTAAAGCCAGTGCTGGGCTGCTCCCAAGCCCTCCTGTTGCTCCCTCTGAGCTCACCTGTTCTTCCCCACCCCCGAGGGCACAGTCAGGAGTTTGGTATCACTGAAGATGAACATCCACAGGTTTGTCACCCACTTTGCTGCTGGCCTGGCCAACAGCTCCAGGTTGCCATCCCTGTCTATGACAGAAATCAGGAGAGCCAGGAATGGAGTGATCACCTTCTGGACTCGCTTCCACAGGGTGTGCCTTTGGGGCAGAGAGAGACAGAAAAACTCGTGATTTAGTTTTGCTGAATGATTATAAATGAATTAAATGCTTTTTCAGGCCATCAGCTACACGATTGCTGCCATGGATAACATTGATTACAACGAGGCAGAAGAGAAGTACGTGAAAGGACCACCTGTAAGGGAAAGGTATTTTTTATTTTCAGTATTCTTTAGACTTTGGTTACTAGTTTTCTGTTTATATGGAAGAGTTCAGTGTTCTCCCTCCTGTGAAGGAGTGACCTCCAGGGAGGTGACTGTCCTGAATAGTTGCTGACATTTGCTTGAGAGGAAATCCTAATCCTGCCTTTAAGGGAAAAAACTACCACCAATAAACCCCTACACTTCTCTCACTCCTGGCTCACCTGTAATCCCACTGTTCCACTCAAAGCACTTGAGCATTCTTGTCCCAGCACAGCCCATTCAGCTCTAAATCACCCCCCTCAGGAGCCAGGAGAAGCTAAAACTGCCTTTGGAGGGTTTCCAGCACAGACTAGAGGCTGACACTGCAAATATTCAGATTACACAAAACTGCTGCCTCTGCTGCACAGGTGCCATTTGCAGCCCCTTCCTGGAAGCCTGCACATTCCAAGGATTGCTGCTGTCCTCACCTGAAGGTACCTCCCTCCTGGAGAGCACTGAGGTTGGAAGCCTCCCGAAGCACCCAGTTTTTTGGGTGAAGGGAAATTTCTTCTTGCTTCTTCAAAAGGCTGGAGAGACGAGCCTTTGTAATCTTCAGGAAAGAGGCTACAAAACAAGAAGGAACTTGCATTTTCTGTTGTATTAGCATTGCATCCAAATGCAGATATCCCACCAAGCACAGCATTTTATGGTTGTTTCAATAATTAGCCAACTAGGGCTAAAAAAAACCAGTCACCAGAGCCAGCACAGCCAGAGAGAAAGCCACCACCTGAACTGCAGGAAAAGCCCTACAGCCATGAAAGGAGCAACAGACTGGAGCAGGGACACACACACTCCTGGGAGATCCTCCTTGTCCCCAGTGACCCCTGGGTCCCCAGTGACCTGACTGACAGGGTTGGGGGTCCCCCAGATGCCCAGGGACCTGCAGCACATACCCTTCAAGTCATCCTCCTTGGAGAGGAGGCCGAGGAGAATCTTAATGCGCTTCCTGCTCCGACTCAGGTCCTCGTTCTGGTCCCGCAGCATCCCCACAGCACTCTGCACACAGGTCCTCAGCAGCACAGTGGTGTCCAGGACCTCACCCTGCCCAGAACAGCATGAACAGGATCATTCCTCTCCAGTGCTGCACTCCTGCCCCAGCACACCCCTCCTGGAATGGTGACAGTGCTCCCTGGAAAGGGTCTGTTCCCTGGCACCCTCACTCCCAGCTCTCTTCTCAGACTGCAATTCTGAGCCCTTTTGCTGTCAAGTACATGATGCAACTTCTGTGGCCCCTTCAAACTGGCCTGTGACACAGCACTTGTACTGAGATAAGATTCCTACAGATGAAAGATTCAGCAGTTCAGCAGGAAAAGTGAAAATGATAAATGTGACCAGGGAAAATTTGCCCTCCCTGGGGAACATTTCAGCACGTGAAGGGCAAAAGCCACATGTCCCTTGTCCTGGGCATCCTCCAGCTGAGGCTGTCAGGGGAACACGAGCCAGTGTGGGTGTGGCTGCAGCACAGCCAAGCTCTCAGCCAGCTCCAACATGGTTCCAATGCACACCCCAAAGCACACCCAGCTGGAGAGGCAGGCTCAGAAACACAGCTCCCACCTTCAGGGTGAGAAAGAAAACAGAAGCCTTTAAAGCTGATTTTTGAAAATTAGAAGTATGAAATGACTAAGGATTTAGAGGGTCCTCAGGATGGTTTATTTCTTTAGTGATGCTGATTTTGACTGGAGAGTGGGGAGGAGGAATTTTTGTCTGATCATTCACATTCATGATGCAAATACTGCTGATGGATTTCAAGGCAATGGGGATGCAAAAGGTGTGTTGCACCCATGGATGACAGAGCAGAGACCCATCCTGACAGCTGAGAAGCAAACAAATGTATTCTGAACTGACCTCATAGTGCTCTGCTTCTGACACTGGCATTTCAACCTCCATCTCTTCCTCCTGTGCTTCTCCATTCACAGGCAGAGTTGCAACTAAGGTGTAGAATTTTTATTAGAAAGCAGCAGTAAATTTTTGCAGTCAGATAAGGGTTTATTTTAGCAAGTGCATCCCAGATCAGCAGAAGATCTGTCAGATCCATTAGCACCTGCATCCACCTCCCAAATACAGACACAGCTGCTGGGGCTCTCAGGCCTCATGCAGCAAGAACTGGAAGAAGTGACACTGAGCTGATGCCCTAAGCTCTCCCAGAATCCTATCAGGCAGTGTGAGAGTAAGAAAAAACTGAGGGGAAAGAAAGACCCTTGTCAGTGGTGTCTGTCACACAGCACCTGCTGCCTCTCGTGATGGGACAGAGCACTCAGGCTGCTGAGCAGTGCAAATGCCACATTCCTGTCAAAAGAAAAAGGCAAAACTACCAAATTAACCTACCTGATGACCCAAAGTTGTAGCAATGAACTAAATACAAATACCAGTTGGGATCCCCCCCAAAAAACACGTTCTGAGCAGGGACAGTCACATTGTACCAGGCACCAGTGGTTCCTCTAGCACCAAGTCTGGGACCACAGCTCCCCTTTTCCCACTGGCACATCAGCCCCCGTGGCTGGCAGAGCTCACCTTTGGTTTTGCCCGAGCCCTCAGAGAACACCTGGCTGATGGTGAGGTTCTGCAGGGCCGTCATGTCCGAGACCATGTCCTTGGACCTGCGCAGGTCGTCGATGTGCACTGACTGCCACAGGCCTGCAGGAGAGAGCAACAGCAAGAAATCATTCCATGCCTGCAGCCTGTTCTTCCAGAACAGCTTCCCAAAAACTACCTGCCAGCACCTGTGGGTTTACATTCAGAGCTCACTCACTCTCACCTCTCGCTGTAGGAAGGGAAGCAGAGTTCCCTCAGAACACACTCCCTGACAGGGCACACACACGGTCTGGTGGCTTCTGAGAGCCTCAGAGCCCTGGTCCAGAGGAGCCTTCTGCTGAGAGCAGAACACGTCAGCACGTGTTCCAGGGCCTCCCAGAGGACAACATGCCCAGGGAGTTACCCTTGTGTTTGTGTGCTGCTCTCTCCAGGTACTGATCCCCCAAGGCAGGCCCTGTGGCACAGGGAAGCAGCTCTGACAAGGCACAGGACACACCAAGTCCAGATCTTCAGCATTCAAAAGGACAGTGAGCAAGAGAAGCAACTGCCTGGAGCCAGCTGAAGAGTGAGGAGGGACAGATGGGCTCACCCACCTCCATGGAATCCCACGTAGGACGTTCCTCCTTCCAGCCGGGAAAGCTTCATGATAAAGTAAACAAAGACAGAGACGTCTCCCAGGTCCCCCTTGTTGATCTCATTGACCACGGTGTATCTGCAACACAGGAATGCTGGCAGAGCACACACAGGCTCCAGGGCACGGCTCCTTCCTCTGAGCAGACACGTTTCCTCTCCCCAGACAGGCCAAGTGACTCTCACTCCTTCCACCCGGCCAAGCTGCCACCTCCAGCTGTGCCTCAAATGATCCCCTGACCCTCAGCTCTTCAGGACTCCTGCAGCCAGTGGGCAGAATTCACACTTCAAAGGGGATTATCTGCTCACTTGACCCAGCTTAGTTTATTTTGACTTGAGCTACGCATTATTATTTGAAATATAATTAGTGCATCCAGATTCACTCTGCTGCAGAATAAAGGACTGCACATTCCTGAGTCTGAAATCCCCAAACAGCACGAATAAGCAAAGGTGGTGAGGAGTGGCCAAGCAGAATTGAACCACTTCACACCCGACTTACTTGGCAGAGGCGACGAGCTGGGCATCTTGAGAGCCATCTTCAAAGTCTGTCTGAATAATAAGGACTTTATTTCCTGAAGTGGCATCCAGGAAATCCCTGCAGAGTGAAAAGGGATTTAACAGAAGTCACTAAGTGTAAAAACCAAACATTAAAGACTAAAGAACCAGCCACTCCACATTAGCTTTGGTTGCTGCAGGCAGAAGGAGAGACTAAAACACCAAACCCCACCTGTGCCTGATAAGGTTTGCTCCAAGCCAGCCCACTGTCAGCACAGCACGGGCTCCTGCCTCCCTTTCCCATGTGACTCCAGGTGTTCTGCCCACACACCTTCCACCCAGCCTGTTCTGAGCAGGATAACGTGAGCCCAGACTCACCTGATGCTCCTCAGGAAGGAGTACTCCGTGTCAAACTGCTGCAGGAACAGGATCTGGGGCCTTTGGGCTCTCCCCTGCACCTCCCTCTCCAGGCAGGCAGCGTCGGTGCTGGTGAGCAGCCGGGAGAAGGTGGTGACCTGGGGACAAGGGGCAGGAATGCAGCAGGAAGGCAGCACAGACCCCTCACCTGTGCTCTGTGCTGCAGAGCTGGACTGCACCCCCAAAACCAACACTGCCAACAGGCAAAGGGCCAATGTGGGCTGTTACAGCAACCCAGGGCCACTGCTGGACATCCTGCAGCCCTGGCAGGATAAACAAAAACATGAGGGCAGGTCGGGGGGTGTTGGGAGGACCCCACCAGGCACTCACCTCTGTGAAGGCTGTTTGGGACCCAGACCCCTGGTGGACATGAGCACGGAGAAAGTCTGCAAAGGACGTGTGCTGCTGCTGCCTGAAGTAGGTTTTGGCCAGGGAATCTGCCATGAACATCCCCCCGGAGCTGCAGAGGCGGATGACGGCGTCGGGGGTGGCACAGTTCAGCAGGGCCAGCTGGGCCTCCCTCTTCACCCGGGCCTGGAGCTCCCCAGGGGGACACTGTGCCCGCAGCCTCTCCGTGGTCTGCAGCACCACCGAGGCGCAGGTGCTGGGCTGGTAGCCCACGAACACGTCGGCCGGGCGGTACCGCTGCCGGCTCAGGAAGTGCTCCTCCGTACTGACCGCGGCGAACTCCTGCACCCACTTCTGCAGCTCCCTCACGGTTTCTCTTTGCCCCTTGTCCAGGACGGTGCTGATATCCAGGTAGTGCTTCTCCAGCCGGTTGATCAGTGGAATGGGGAAGTGCTTGTACACCACGTCCTTCTCCTCGATGACGATCAAGCGGAACTTGGGGTGCACGCGGCACTTCACCCGGTGGGTGCCCAGCCCCAAATCCACGTACTTCTGGCCAGCAAGGTACACGTAGTACTGGTTGAGGGCATCGTAGAGGCTCTCATAGAGGTTTTGCAAGTTGAGGAGCACAACCATTTGGCCGGTTTCCATGCAGACCTTCACACGGTTGATGTTCCTGCATATCTGGGTATATTCTTGGTCTTTAGGGAAACTGGAGCCAAAGATAATTTCTGGCTGCTGCCGGGCAGTGAAGAAGGCTTGCTGGAGGATCTGCAGTGCCGCGTAGTTCTCAGTCAACACAAGCAGGTACCTGCAATCCCCATCCTCAGCACTGCTGCAAATGTTCTGTCGGACCAGCTCAATCCTACTGATGTCATGAGCGTGTATCACTCCTTTCTCTGGTAACTTTGAGGTGAATATTTCCAGGGCATTGACATCATCTTTGCCACCAAAGTTACGAAGAACCACTTCGGCGATGTCCTGAGGTGTCGGCTCGCTCTTGGAGTTCTTGGCTAAGGCGAAAAACATCTTTATGAGGCTGTAGTAGTCACGGAGACCAAAGAACTCCCTGTCTTGGGCCTTGCAAATATTTTCATATGCGTCTGCAAAGGGATGGAAATAGGGCTCGACCTTCTGCAAAGCCCCTCGTGATGAGCAGCAAATCCCCTTCGCGCTCTCGATGAGCTCCTCTCTGCTGGGGTCCCCACGAGACACAAAGATGCCTCGGTTCATCTTGGCAGGGTCCAGGGCCCAGTTGGAAATCCCAATGAAGCCAACCTTCTTGTGAGGAAGAGGGACATCATCTATGCAGCCATCTTCCAAAAGTGGGTGCAAAGTCTTCAAGGGCATTTTGGGAGAGTCTTCTGCCAGCCCAATCTCATCCAAAACCACCACGGAGACATATTCGTCCAAGTTCTTCCCTTCCTGGAATCGAGCACAGTGCTTGAAAGTGCCTATGATTCCCTCCGGAGTGGAGAGGGGGCTGCACTGAAAAGACACGAGATGGATCTGCTTCAGGTCCTTGAACAAATCTGAGTGAGCTGCTTGGCCCTGCATAGCGTCAGCCACAATGGTTTTTGCAAGGGATTTGGAACTCCCAGGTTTCCCAACGAGAAAAAGAGGGATTTTTAGCTCAATACAGATGACCATCATAAAGACATTTTCCTTCAAGGCCAAGTTTCTTGCTATGGTATCCCGGAGTTGCACACCACTCAGGAATAAGTCCTGCATCAGGGAGATTTCTTCCAAAATCTTTTTCTGGGTGTCATAAGGCTTTGGAAGGACCTGGCTGATAGCACTCCTGTAGGCCTCCTTCCTTTCCAAGGAGGCGTGATAGCAGACCCCAACTGCCAGCACCAAGGACCAGATAGTGTTGTTTCTCTCAACATTGCCCTTTGGTGCTTTCTTCTCAGCCAGGTACTTCTCCAGCTCCCTCAGCAGCAGCTCACTGCGCTTGTAAAACCACTTGAAAACTTCCATGCAGCGCTCCACGTCCCGCAGGCTGACGAAGCTGCACTCGTCGTCCCTCTGCCTCATGTACTTCTGGGAGGCAAAGAGCACCTCTGTGACTGCCTCCACATCACCCTGCTCCATGGGGACCTGCTCCGCGACCCGCTGCACGATCTGCTGGATGTACATCTTCTCCGTCAGGTTGTTCAGCTGCCCGAAATCCCACACTAACGGGATCATGCTGGGCGGGAGCGCGTGGACCCGGTACACGAGCTGCCTCAGAGGGACAGACCCGAGCTTATCCTTGGTCTCATCTGCTTTGACACGGTAGCCCAGCCCAGCTAATTCCAGGCGCTGGATCATCTTGGGCGTGTGCTTTCGATACGGGTTGCAGGCTGCGATGATCCGCAAGCCAGAGCCGGAGGCCAAAGGCTTCCCCTGCACCGTGCGGTCACACAGAACCTCCTTGATGCTGCTCACGGCCTCTGTCGTGTTGGCCTCATCAAAGAACAGGACAGTGTCCAACCCGTGCTGCTCCTTGTTGGCTTTAGCCAGGGCTTCTGCTTCTCTGATCCTGGCATAGATCATCTCTGCAGTGGTACCTCCGTGGACTTTGACAAGCTTCATGTTCTCCACCTCTACAAAGCTTCTGCGTAACTGGCACAGGAACTTCACCAGTCTGGTTTTCCCACAGCCCGTCTCTCCCATGATGACAACCGGGATGTTGCATCGGAATCGCATCTCAATGGCCAAGATCTTCAGCACGTTGTCCGTGGTGAGCTCGTACGTCTCATCGGGGTCTGCCACCCAGGAGAGCCCCAACACCATGCAGAGCCTCTCGAGCTTCTCGTGCCGAGGCAGCCGATCGAACGGCACGTTGAAGGGAACCCTCTGCAGTAACAAGCCCTGGTACAGCTGTGCAGTCATGATGTTCCGCTTGATGACGCTGCCGGTCAGAGGGTTGATGGCATCAACACCCCCAGGGCCGTTCGGCTGGAAGTGGAACCCGATGAACGTCATGGACACACGATCTTCATTGAAAAACAAGTAGGGGTGAGGCTCCGACTCCCACCTCTTCCGAATGCGGAACGGAAGAAGATCTTCCTCCGCCACGTTCTCCAGGTGGGAGGACTGTCTTCCTGAGCTCTGATCGGAAATGTTCAGGGAGGGCGTCGCAAAATCCCTCGCCATTAAAATCATGAAGGTAACGACAAAGTTTTTGAAACCTTTCAAAGTGTCCTGGACAAAGTCAGGGTTGCAGAAGACAGAAGCTTCACAGTCTCTCAGCTGAATGTTGAGGAACCAGGCGAAGTTGCGGAGCTCTGCCCAGGAGGGATCCACGACCCCGCAGTGCAGCAGGAACAGCTGCAGACATTCCGCCGGGCTCCCCTCCACCGAGTGGGCTTCGTACCAGAAGACGTCCAGGTCACACCCCTGATCAAACCTCTTCAGATACTGGAAAGGTCTCTGGAAAGCCTCGCTGCGAAATTCCTCCTCGTCCATTCCCGGGTCCGAAAAATCCCCAGACTGTTTTCCAAGTGTCTCCATTTCTAGTACTTCTTTGGGAGACTTACACGTTACTTTAGGGAACACATCTAAGAAATTATACTTCTGGCTTGCTGACACCTGGAGAAGAGGAAAGGAAAGAGTCATCACAGAGCTGATGATCAGAGCCCTGATCTTCAGTTTAGTTAATCTGTTCTTAACAGTCTTCTCGGCTAAAACCACAGACCCCAGTAACAGGAGCCAGCCCATACAACCAGGACACCTTTTCCCCTTTGTATCCCTTCTTCCACATAAAGGGCACCAGTGAATTCTATTCCCTTCTACACTTTCCTCCCTGGAACACGAGTCCTGTGTCACCTCCAGCCCCTTCTCAGTGCTACCTTGAAGAAAACTAAACCCAAGAAACTGTCACTTCCACACTCTGTTCTTTTAGCTCCATATAAATATTCCAGTACTTTCAAACCTGCAAATTAACACGAGGAACATTAGATTTTCCATTTTTTCTGTTTCCTATAAATGTTACAGTGGGGCCAGTGAGGTTTGGACTAACAAGCCTTCAGAAGTCACCAACCCAAGGGAATGACAGGCCCAATTCACTGTCTGATTTTAGTCTCACTTTGTACAACTCCAGGGACACCACTTTGTAATGACACACAGCACACCCCAAATGGAGCAGAGAATTCCTGTGCTGTGTTTACAGTTACAGTCTCCATGTACAACCACGAGCAAAATGACTGAGAAATTCCCAGAAATGGAGCACTGCTGTGTACATACAGGTGTGGCTGCTTTCTTTGGCACTGGGGACACCTCAAGGATTTCAATGACATACAGATGACACTTCTGTCGCAGCCACATGTTGCCATTATTATCTGTCAGGTACTGCAAAACCAATAGCTTGAAGAGAAACTCTGGAATTCCACGTTGCACCTATCACAAGAAAAGACACAAAGGCATTTCCTCTTCATTTACCCATCACAACCTCACAGAATCACAGAACAGTTGAGGGTGGGAAGGTTCTTTGCTCAAAGCAGGCTCAGCTAGAACAGGCTGCCCAGGGCCACACCCAGCCAGGTTTTTAGTACCTCCAAGGAAGAGACTTTACAGCTTCTCTAGGAAGTTGTTCTAAGTCTCTAGGAACTGTTCTAAGTCCAACCACCTTGATGGTAATGAGTTATTTGTGTTACACAATAATTAGAATATACATCATTGAGAAATGGCTTACTAAGAAACAAGAGCTTTAAAGAAACAACTCCTGCAAGAATCCATACAGGACTTCTTGGACAAGGTAGCTGTGGGAGGGATGTACTTACTGAGGAGGTGATATCAAAATGGAATATCATGGGCTTTGTCTGGTGTTCTTTCTTCAGAAAAGGCAGGAGAGATTTTAGCACTTTATCTTCATCCACTTCTGGTTCAATTAGTCTGATGGTTTCCAGAAGTTCTGTACAGTCAGGCTGCTCTTCTTGCAGCCTCTCATGTAGCCTCTTCACATAGAGAGATTTCCCTGTTTTAAAAAACACCACAAGAATTAAAGCCATTGATATTGAACACATCATACTAAAGCCATAATAGAAAGAAGGAAATAAAATGTTTAAGTACCCTATGCTCTGAAATCTCTGAACCTTCCTAAAAGGCATTCCAGAAGAAAGCCTAAACCTGGTTTGAGCAGCTGGAGCCTGGAATCCAAGCCACTGCTGTTGTTATCCACATGGCTTGTTTTGCTTCCATTACTGAGAGAAGCTTTACTCTTTATTAGGATTTGAACCTATTCTGTCCTCGTTTCTGAAGTCAAACCAGGGTAAGAACACAGCTGTAACTCTGAGTCCTGTCCAGTATTTTTTCAGAGGTTTGCAGCTCAGGAGCTCTGATGGCAGAAACAGCATCTTTATGATCAGCAGCCCCTGATGGAGGTTTCTCTCCTGACTGTACCTGATCACTTTTTAAGCCCATGTAAAGCTTTGGGTTCCACAATTCAGCCAATCCCTGTTTGAAAACCACCTTCCTCTGTTTGCTTTTCAGCCTGATAAGTTTTACTTAATACCCCCTCCAGCTTTTTGCATTAAGAGCCATTGAACAACCATTTCCCACACAGGAACACAGGCAGCCTTTGCAGCCCTTGTCCCACCTCACAGCCCATTTCCTGCAGGCATGTGTTACCCTCAGGAGCTCAGGTTCAGCTCACCCAGCATTAGTTATGTTTTATGTTAATTACCCAAGTGAGCAGAACAAAACAGGTGCCAGTTAGAAGGTGACCCATCCCCAGAGGTGCCCATCTCAGGACAAGGCAAGGTGACATCCAGTTTTCACACCACTGCACTGGGTAGAGTCTGAAGCGCTCTTTCTGACTAAGATATTTAGCACTTGGACACAAAACCTGACAAAGTGAGCCCCGCCCTGTTTTCCAACTCTCAGCAGCCCCCACTTTGCATGTGACACCTTACCCACACCAGCTCTTCTGGAGGACACAATCCCAACACACATGTTGCCCTTGAACACAGAAGCAGCCGAGCTCGAGGGCCGAGGCACTCGGTAGTGGTGCTGCAGGTACTGCTGGATTTCAGCCCGTGGCCTCTGGGGTATCATGTGCACTTTGTACTGGCTGAAGGCAGAGGGGATGTAGCTGTGCTCCCGCTCGCAGTCGCACAGGATGACCAGGCGGTAGGAGCTGTTGTAGCGCTGCAGGTCCTGGAACAGCTCCTCTGCTCTGCAGCTGACATCGTAGCTCAGCTCATCCGCGTACAGCATGGTGTAAATCTTCTCCCCTCTGCTGCAGGGAATGAGGCACCTCCTGAGGAACAGCCCCACCTGCTCAGCGGTGGTCTGAGGGGTGCACAGGAGAACCTCGTCAAAGGTGGGCAGGGGCTGCTCGGGGCTGTTCATGTAGATGGCCAGTGCAGAGCTGAGCACCTCGGAGCGAGGGCAGGTGATGAGGTTGGGCTGGCCCACACACAGCAGGTCCTGAGGGAACTCCCGGGTGACACAGTCCCTGCCACGGCGGGCCAGGTCCCCCAGCCACACTCCCAGCGAGTCGATGTCCAGGCAGCTGGGGAGGAAGGAGCCCATGTTGCTCATGTAGCACTCCCAGATGCACTTCAGCTGGGCAGTCAGGTCCTTCTCCCCGCCCAGCAGCACTTGCAAATCAGAAATAGTCTTCCCTGAGCTGGGAGGCAGCTCCCTCCCGGCTGCCAGCGCGTCCCACTCGGTGCAGTCGCGGTTCAGGAAGGAAAGCATGGTCAGGGCAGCCTGGCTGGGCGTGCCCTGCCCCAGCTCCGTGCACAGGTACACCAGCTGCTCCGCAGTGTAGTAGTTCAGGTAGAAGTGCTGGAACCGTTTCTCGTACATGAAGCTCTTCCAGCTCTCCAGGAAGCTCTCCATGGTCTTGCAGAGGCCTGGGAGCACAGCTGCCATATCCCCCTGCCCCTCCAGCACCGGGATGGGGCCCAGGGAGAAGTCAATAAGAACACAGGATTCTCTTCTGGGTGAACAGTACACATGGGCAAGCCAGGAGCGGAAAAGCATGTTCCCAGCTGAATAAAGGTCTATAAAGGCCTGTGCAAGTCTCTGGACGTTGGAAAAGACCTGTGTGAGGGCAGAGGAGACAGAAAAAACACTAAGCTAGTTTACCAAGTCCCAGCCATGAAACCACGGGAAAGACTTCCAATGAAGGCTTTGGTCCAGATGTTTGCCAGGCCTTGTACAGCAACCACAGATTCTCTGTGACCTTTTAACAGCAGTATCCCCAGGAAACCAGTAAGGAACCCCCAGGAAACCAGTAAGGAACCCCAGCTTGCTACAAAAGCACAGAGATGCTCTCCAGTGCACCCAGAGAATAAGGGTACCAGTCTACTGTCTGGTCTCCAGCTCAGTCCCACCTTAGCAAGGAACAAAGAGGTAGGAACACCCATCTGCCTGTGACCATCCATCCCCAGCAACTCAGCTGTCAATCACAGTCTTAAGAGTTGATACTCAAGGGGAAATCCAGCCCCAGCCCCACCATCAGTAACCCCCTGGGTTTGGAATCTGACCTCAGAGAACCTCTCCACCTCCAGGCCTTGCTCTCCCTTTGCTGACATGAGCATCAGTTTGTTCTGCAGCTCACGGAGCTCTGCCAGGGAGTATTTCCGTGAGGCCTCGTCCTCCCCTGAGCTCCCCGGGAGGGTGAAGCACAGGACAGTGTCCAAGGAGACCTGCCAGGGCAGAAGTCATTAGTGTGGATGTGCCTGAGGCTCTGCCCAGCGAGGGGAGCACTCAGGGGCAGGAGCCCCCAGAAAGGAGCTGTGTGTGCAGTGGGAGAAAAGCTCCAGCTGGTTTCTGGGAGCAGGAGGGGAGGGGGAGCTGAGCTGCCTCACCTTCTGGCCATCAGCTGGTGCTCTCAGGACATAGACTCCTCTGCTGTTGATGGCAGCTGCCAGGGAGAGTGAGGACAGCTCCACAGAGCCATGGCTCTCCTTCACTGTCTTCAGCCACTCCAGGTGCTGGGCTGAGGCACGCTGTGGGAGGACACACTGCCCTGACTGCCTTGACTTGGCAGCATTTCCAGGATTACAACAGATACGTCAGTTCAGGACAAACAGCTTGGGCTGGCACGAGACTTTCAGGATGGGGAAGGAAGGGGAATGGGCACTGGCCACAGCCTGGTCTGTCTGCACAGCTGTTCCTTACCCACTCCATGGGGATGAACAGAGCCCACAGTGCTCCAACACCTCTCGCTAGAGAAACAGGCCCTGCTGCAAAGGGTAAGAGTTCCCAGCCATCTGCCTCCCCTCTTTCACACCATCAAACTCTTGCACGAGCAAAGCTACACCAGGTCACACTGGAAAGCTCCAGCAGAGCTCTGGAGAAACCTCTGCCACACCAGTTCGTGCTGCAGTGAATTTCTGTGGCACACAAACATCGGACACTTTTCTTCCAATAACAAGAACTGCTGTGATGTCCCCACTTGCCCTATGCAGTCAAACTTCCAGCCACTCTTGGAAGGCAGAAAGGCAGGAGGATGCAGAGAGGACCTACTCCAGCAGAACTCACAAGTTTCTTGGGGAGATTCTCATCACTGTCCAGGGCTCTCCACAGCTTCTCCAAGCAGCGCATGAAGTCCTCAAACCCTGACTCTTGCCTAAGCTCATAGAGCAGGGAGGAGTAGCCATGTACAGTGTCATGGAAACAGGCCACACGGTCCACATCCATGTCATTCTCCCCAGCAGAGATGGAAGCCAAGTCCACGAACACCTTCAGCTCATTTATATCTTCAATGAGACAAACACGAGTGAACAACAAACGAGGCAGCCTGAACACAACCCCATATCCCCACCTTCCACAGGAAACACAGAAAGGATGCTTTGAACACCGTCTCCTGTGCCCTCCCCCCATCCTGCCAGCAGCTTCCCCCATGATCCATCTGCCCTCAGGACCCCCTGGCCCTGCTCTCCCCCACCAGCAGAGCCCCAGCTGGGTCATGACCCGTGCCTGGGGTGGGGGGTGTCCGTGCAGGTCAGGGGGGTCTGTTCAAGTCAGCCCACTCAGCTGGCAGACACAGTTCCACTGTCTGAAACAACCAGTCTGAACTGAGTAGTAGCAGCTACTGAAGCCCCCCAGGCCCAGCCCAGCCCCTGGGCAGGGTGGTCACTGTGAGCTGCACCAGCTGCAGTGCAGGACACGTTTAAAGGGACTTTATAGCGCGTTCCACACCAAAACCCATGAGAGGTGTTTGTAACTATCAACACCAGAAGCAGTGAAGGCACAAAGCAGATGGGTCAGGGATAGAGTGTTCCTTGTTCCTTCTGCCCCCACACAAGCTGCCATCCCTTCCAGTACTCTCTGACTAATTCCTGGGTGAGCAGCACACACCTCTCAGTGCTTCCCTGACCCAGCAGACAAAGTCCTTCTGCTGGGCCAGCTCCCTCAGGCAGCCTCGGCGGGTCGCAGTGATCCCCTGCAGCCACGTCTTGGCCTGCACAAGCTCAGGGCTGATGGAATCCAGCTTCTGGGTCTTGGAGGACTCAAGCTTTTCTGTCTAGAAAGCAGGCAGTGCAAACATACATTCAGTCTGGAATTGGGAAATGCCACTGGTTCTGCAGCAGGGAGAGAAAAGCCCTCTGCAAAGCCACATCCCAACACAGGAATATCATGTCTCTTTTAGGAATGATGACACAAAAGCACTTTGAACGCCTGATTTTTACCCCAAATAAACATTTTGGGACAAGGAATTGTTCTTGACAAGCTACAATAGACTTGTGGGAAGGTTCAGATTTAGCCAAAACCTTGGCAGTACAGACCTGAAGGAGGGGATACTTACTATATCCAGCAAGTGTTCCAGGATACTGAAGTCACCAGAGAGGTTTAAGTTCTCTTTGACATTGGCAATGATCTTTGCAGCATCAAAAGTCAGATGCATTTCATGGTACTGCTGGATCTGCCGAACTCGCTGGTCGATCCAGGACCTGCTTTCTCCAGGTCGAAGCTCACAGATGGTGTTTAGCTCTGTTCTGAGATCTTCAGGATGATTTGTGAATTCCTGAAAAATTTTATCAACTGCAGAAAGTGTGAGACTTCCTGATCTGAGATCATTATACAGCATTTCATAGCTGGTAAAGCAAGGGCGGATCACGCTGGTCAAAACATCATCAAGGTTCAATTCAGGCACAGCATCCTCCTCCTCCTCCTCCTCCTCTTCTTCTGGCCATTCATACTCATACTGGTCTCCTGCCTCCTGTGCTGCTTCCTCCCAGAACTGCTGGAAGATCAGGCTGTCCTTAAAAGAGTGCATTTTCTGGACAAATTCCTTCAGCTCTGGCCCCAAGCTGTAGTAGGTCTGCAGGGGTCTCTTTCCCACGTTCACCACTTTATTTAGCCTTTTTAAGCGAAGATCTTCCGAGTGTTGAGATTCCACTTCACCTACATCCACTTGAAGAGAGACAGGTCAGGGATCAGGTGTGCAGCCTGGCTCCAGCTCACTCCACCCAACCCCCCAAGCCACAAAATGCTACTGGGCAGGTGGGGCCCTGTAAGTGTCATTTAATGCACAAGCACTCACTTGATCCCCCCAGTGCTCTGGGTTTACTTCCCCCACCCCTCCTCACCCTCACTGTGGTTTAGAATCAAACCTGTTTGCAAAACCCAAGGCATTTTCAAGGAAAATTGTGTTTTCTGGAGTTGCCACTGTCAGACTGCCCCCCCAGAACTCTACCTTTCACAGATGCCTGCACCTTCCTGCACATGCTCAGGAAGGTTCCTACTGCTTTTTGATCTTTCCTGAGCAGTGTGACCTCCTCTTGCCTCATCTGCAGCAGTTCTTTCAGGCTTCTCAGGAGTACTTCCTTTGTTTCACGTGGCAGTTGCTGGTGCTCTGAAAGAAAACCCACCTGCAGTCACAAGGTAGAAACTTCCCATGCCCTGAACCCCTGACTCAGGTTTGGATTTGCAGAGTCACAACCCAAACTGGGGCTGGGAGCTCCATGTAAAGGCCAAAGGGCAGCACTGCTGGAGCACCTCCTCAACATTCCCAATCCCTGGAGCATCAGCAGAGCAGGACATCCATCACTGCAGTGATGCTTTAAGGCAACCACACCACTTTTCAACACATCTCTTACTTGTCTCCCAAATACAGATGAACTGTTCCTCGTGCTGGAAAACCTCTTCCAGATGTTTCACAAGGATGCAGCCTTTCTGGATGTCATCAGTGACACTCTCAAACACGAAGTCTGCTGTGTGCATGATGTCCTTGGCTTTATCTGTGAGTTTTTCTATGAGGTTTCTGTTTCTTCCTGTTCCAGAAACAAAGCAGGTCAAAGCTAGATCAAGCCCTGCTTCCCAAAAATCCAGGCAGAATCAGCAACTATTCCATGCCATAGTACAGAGAGTCCATCTCCTATTGAATCCCTGCCCAAGAGCCTGTGGACTCCACCTTCCAACCCCTCATGTTTTTCTGAACAGAAAACCAGGATCTCAGGGCAGCAACTTGGAAACCTCCCATGCAGAACCCACACCCAAGCCCTGTGAGCAAACACAAGCCACCTGGATCCATTCACATGGCCAACACTTGGGTATTTTCGTGTGGCAACAACTTGTGAGAACCTCTCAGAGAAAGAAGTTCTGCTCTACAAATCCTGAGGCAGCTGCAGTGGATTAGCACAAGAGGAATACTGGATCCCTCTTCCTTGGCCTTTCCTCTCCAAAAGTAGGCTGAATACCTCAGACTTGGAGAAGAGCAATAAAACAAGAGCAGGACAGTTTCTCTGTGTTTGCTGCCCTGCACCGTGGCAGCAGCGAGGCAGAGAACAGCTCCTCAGAGCCTCCTGTAAATCTAACCACAGACATACCACTAAAGCTGAAGATCTGTTTGGTGTCAGGCCACGTAAGCAGGTGGTGCAGAATCATATCAAAATTGCCCTCGGACTGCTCCCTCCTGAGGGGCCAGGACTCCACGATGATGGTTGACACGAGCTGGCTGAACCGGTCCAGGCTGTAGGCAGAGATCTTCTCCAGGAGGTTGCTCTCTGTCTGCCAAGGCACACAGGAGAGGGCAGGGATGAACGAGGGTTTGGGATCACGCTGTGCCTGCATCTCAAAACTGGGCACTGATGCCAAGGAGTCCCACCTCCAGTGCTGAGGCGTGTCCCAAAAGAGCTGTGTGACACGACTGACACCAGAACTCCCGATGGAAACGCATCACAAGTCTCCCTCATGGACCCTTTAGCAGTGGATACTCATCTCCTGATTTCTTGTCAGTGCTTTTTGTTGTTGGTTTAACAGACTTAAACAATCCACAGCAACCCAAGCAACATCCAACGCTCCTCCCACCACCAGGCACATCCCTGTGCCACCAACAGGATTTCTGTGCAATGGGAAATTCAACTTCTCTTTCTCCTACCTTCCCTTTCCTACTTTTCCTTCCTACCTGTCCCTTCCCCTCCCAGGGCAGAGGCAGTACCTGGCAGGCTGCAGTTACAGCCTCTGTGGCACAGTCCTGGAAGCAGCGCTCGATGGAAGAGTCCAGCTGTGTGAACTGATGTTTCTGACAGCAGAACACCAAGATTTGGTTCACTGGAGGCTCCTAGAGGGCAGAAAGAAGATTTCTTATCATCTTAGTTTCCAAAAAGTGTTTCTTCTGACATGGAGTGCTGCTATGGAGGCAGTAAAAGGAACTAGGTTAAAAAGTGCAAGTTTTCCAGTGGGGCCACACATGACCCCATTTCTCAGGGCCTGGAAGAGATTATTTAATATCCATCTTCATTTAATATCCATCTCTCCAAGCCAAGCTTTTAGCAGGAAATATTTGTTTCCTGGTTCCACCATGAGAATTAACAGCTTAAAGAAGAGGTGAGGAGACACACAGGGTCAGTTTAGAAGGGCCTTACACATGTGGCTGTGCATTTGGGAGCCTGAACAGCACCACTTCTGCACAACGAGGAGAGAAGCACCAGCTTTGCTTCTCTGAGCCCTTAGGTGTTCACTTTTCACCCCCTGGTTCTTAAAACTATAGAGATGGTAATTGCTCAAAATGTGTCATTTCCTTTGAAGCACCAGGGCATCATTCCAGCCCTGCAGCCAGGTAGAAACCCTGACACCAAGGTCAGAGTGGTACATTGTCATGGCCCATTTTTGAGCTCCAGAACACAGTTTATAACAGTAATGGCAATTTTTACAATCCAAGCCACCCTGTTTCCAGTGTTCCTTCTCCAAGCACAGCAGAAGATGGTCCATTCCCTCTGAACCACCAGCTGTGACTGCCTGGAGCCTCCCCTACCTCCTGGATTCTTTTCCTCAGATCTTCAAGTAAAGTGTTCTTCCATGTCTTGGTGAACTCCTCATCTGGAAAGCTGATCTTCATAAACCCATTCCAGGCCTGCAGGGGAGAAACAAACAACCCCCAAACCACTGAATGCTGAGATTTAACAGTCAGAGAAAGAAATTAAAAGAACAATGGGGAAAAGAGGCCCCACACTCCTCAGACAGTCTGTAGTCCCTCCAGATTTTTGCATCCAGAAGCAAAGGGGCACCCCCAGAGCTGCAAAAGGCAGCTTTTAAGCCCAAAGAGTGTGTAAATGTCTCAGTTACTAAAGGAGACATTTGGAGGAACCACTTCCACCTTGCTGCTGGAAACTGTCCCAGGGAGGGCTGGGAGCAGCAGGTCAGACTGCCAGGGGCTGCTCTGAGCTCTGCCTGTTGGGAGGCCTGAAGGACAACCAGTGGGACACACAGGGAGCAGGACAACACCAACCAGGGGCAGCTCCTCACCCCAGAAACACCTCTGGAAACAGCTGAGAAAAAGGAGAACCAAGGTGAGCTGAGCAGCACCAATTCCAGCCCTTTGCTTCTCAGCCCAGCAGTGTTTCCAACACTGCCCATCCCCATCTCACTCCTCATCCAGCCACAGCAGCTGCAGTTCCCAGCAAGGAGCCATCAGGACTTTACGGTTAAGCTGCAGTAAAACATTATCAGAAGATGACAAACCCGAAGTTCCCAATGGACAGAGAACATCACATGCTCCAGGGACTCTTTCAGTAGCCTCTCCCTCAGAGTGTTCCTGAACCAGGTTCGAGTGTCTCTCAGAGCCCCTCGGAACATTTCTCCCACTGGACTTTCCTGCACAGCCTCTCTTGGAACCTGCCACACACACAGGAGGAGACAACAAACCAGAACAGTTCAAGCAGGAGAGCAACACATGATTTAAATCAATACTTCTAAAAAGAAGGCCTAAAGGTATCCAAAGCACAAAAGTGCCCAGCAACAGACCCACCACTGCTTAAATAAAGAACAGAGGGAGGCTGGGAAAAGGCAGTGCTTACAGAGAGCTTGGGCCTAAGAATGCTTGTTCCAGGAAATAAAGACAACATATGTTTACAAAAACCAGACATAAAGCTTATGACATCCAACCTGAGCATTTGATCCAACCTGATTTTTCAATAATAACAAAAATTATGAGGTGATTTCACAACTTTCTGAAAGTATCACAGTCCTGGTTAGAGTGGCAAGTTCTCCAAACTGAGAATGGATCTGATCTAAACCCAATCTGTTGTACCATATTTGTGATATTTTTGGATATCTTGCTCCCATCAAGCCAAGAGTGGTTCCTTGGTACTCACTGCTGTGGGCTGAAGTTTGGCAACCTTGGCAATCAGCATGGCAGCAGTGGCAGGAATCGAGAACCACCTCCCATCCCTCGTGGACTTGCAGAGCCTCGTGTGCAGCTTGATGCAGCAGGTCAGGCAGGACTGCCAAGAGCGACCTTCCAGAGCTCTGAGGGCAGGAATACAGAGGAACAATTAATTTTCTGCTCAGAGAAAAAATAAAAAATAAAAAAAAAGAAAACCTCTACCACATTCAACAGTGGCAGCTAACCATCCCTCCCTCAGGTGGATTTAATAAGTGGGATAGAAATCCAGGATTCTTTTATTCACACAGATTTCAAGGCACACATTCAAGCTACAGCATGGCCCCAACCCTCAAGCAGATGAAGGACAGTGCTCTCACAAAGGTGCAGTTACCTGGCTGGTGGCTCATCCAAGGCACACAGCACTGTCTTTAGAAGATTCTCTAACTATGGAAAGACAGAAATATTAAACTGTGAAAGAAATCTTACAGACTGGTTTCTCATTAGCTGAGAGGATGCTGTGAGAAAGGGAATTCCCTGTTCTTCCATGTCTTCTCTAATGCTTTAATTTTTTACCATAACATTGCAAAATTTATTTACTGGATGTTGGAGCCAACACATGGGTGGCTTTTATTTGTACAAACCAAACCTGCACTTCTTACAATCTAGGGGTTTAAAACTTATTATTAGTTGCAACATTCTATTCCTGCTGTCCTCACACAAACACAAGTGTCTTCACAACAGCAGGAAAATCTCCCAAAACCAGTAGTCCCTTTGTCCAACCTCCCCTCTGCAAAAAATCAGTTTCAGGTACATGTCTGAGGAGCTCAGGACTAAAATATTTGCCCTCACTGACGAAAAACAAATCCAGCCAAGCACACCCTTCTCTCATCCAGGCCAACAACACTTTTTGCTGCAGATACACCCTCAAGTCTCCTCTTGGGAGTCTCTGACTTCAGAGCAATTACTTTTGCTTTTAGCTAAATTTGAAGCTCTTTGTGATGTGACCTGCTACCAACCCCCCAGTGATGGTCAGTTCTGCTAAAAGTCACCCAAGAGCCCAGTCTGAGTCTTTGTCCCAGAGCTGGGTAAAGCTGCCAGAAGACAAACCTCAGTGTTACTCCACGGAAGGTTAACGTCCTCTAATCTGTAGAAAACACCTTGCAGAGTAACCAACAAATCCCTGGGGAAATCTCTTATGAACTCAGCCAGGCTCCTCAGGGGCAGCACACAGAGCCAGGACCTCACCAGCGTGGGATCAAAGTCCAGCAGGTACTTCTTTTCCTCCATTAGTTGCAGCAGAGTCGCTCTGGAGAAAAGACAAAACAAAAATCTTCAAGAGCTCGGGGTACAAAAGGCCAAGAGCTCGTTCAGCCCACAGAGGAGTCTCACTCTCACTCCTGTGCTCTCTTCACTGCAGCTGAGCATCAGTGGAAGTCCCTGAGGCCCAGCAATGGCAGAGGCAGAGCCAAACCACGGGGTAGAAGCACTCAAGGAAAATAAACTCCAGGTCTTGCTCAGACTCTGCACAACACCCATCACAAGCTGCTTTAACTCCCACCTGCTGCAAAGCTGGGAGAACTGAGAGGTCACCCCCTGCCCAGCTGGGCCATACCCCGTGATCTCTGAGCACCCACGAGGGCTGTGCCAATACCCCAAACACCCACCACCACCAAGCTATGGTTTGTACCTCTTAAAAAACAGGAGAAAAAAAAATACTTAAAGTAAGGTAATCACCACCAAGTACAGCCCCAAGGCAGTGGGTATAACACTGGGTATAACCAGGAATTCTGGAAAACTCACGGATCTCGCTTCTTCCTTGTTTCAGCAAATGAAAACCCTTCCAGCCCTGCCCAGACATCTTCCTCCACTGGAAAGTGCTCCTGCTGCACAGGAGCAGCAAAGGAATGCAGAAGGGGAAGGATCCACACCCACTGGTCTACTCCACCTTCAATGCATCTGTGGCAGAAATTTGCCAGTAAAACCTTCAAGCTAAAACAAAAAAATACCCAAACAAACACAGTGAGTGAAAGAACAGCTTTATCCAGGCCAGGAGAACACCCATGGGGTCGGGGGCTGCATCTCAGTCTCCCTGTGCACCCTCAATCAACCTCTGATGGTTATTGTAGCTCCACCTTGTCTTCACTGGGGAGTGCACACTAAAGGTTTAAGAGCTGTAACGTTCCCGAATCTCTCTGCACAGACCCCACTACCTGAGCACTGAGAAATCCCAGCTCTTTATCTACAGTTTCCCCACGACCCCACCCAGCCCTGTGACACCCACACAGAGCCAGGTACTCTGGGAACAATTCTTGGCCTTCTTGGCTGGGCTGAAATACTACAAAAGGAAAAATAACAAGAGAGGTATGTGACTGTGAGAGGGCCCCCGAGAGGCTGGGTATCCTTTATCCCTGGAGTTTTTCAGAACCCCACTGCCTGGATGTTAGCCCTGCTTCAAGCAGGAGGCTAGAACTGAGACCTCCAAAGATACCCTCAAATGTAACGTTTTTTCCTGATTCTCTGGCAGGACAGGGCTGGATTCCTGACTGTTCTATCAAAGGGTGCCATGCTGGCAGCAAAAACAGCCCAGTCAGGTACTGGGTACGTGGAGCACTTACCAGACAACTCCTTCAAAAGCCTTTTTGATGTGATCAATCTCATCCTGTACAGTTTGTTGTGACACCTTGTCCAAGCACAAGAGGCTACACAGGCTAGCCAGGTCATCTTTAGATGCTGGAAGTAAAAAATCCTCAACTACCATGAGGATGGTGAGCCCCAGAGCCAGTTTGCTTTTGATGACCCCCTGTGATGCTTCTGGAGCAATGGAAGGAACAGGTATTTTCTTCATATAATTTATCAGCACATCATTCACCTGGGATAAAGAAGGGAAGAAACAAACCAACCACAGCATTAGTCTTCTTCTTGTGAAGCCCTTTTCCTCTGCCTGTTACAGTGAGGCCACAGGACAGCCCTGGACTGGCACCATCTGCCTTGGGGACTTGAGTGACACCTGTGCATTTCTAGGTGTGGTTCTGACATCCCATGTGGGTCAGCTGCAGAGCTGGCATGTGGTGACTTGGTACTTGAGTGGGTTTTGTGTTGGGATATTAATTTCCTAAGTCTGGCCTGTTAGTTTTGCTGCCAGTCACTCTGTCACCAACTTCTCTGCACTTGTCTCTGATTCCAAACCTGCCTGGTCTTTGGGAGAAGCTCCTCCTGATCCTGTTCTAAGCAGTGATGCCAACAGGGCTTCTGGAGTGCAAAATGTCTTACTTGACATAATTGGGAAATATGGCAGAAATGCCACATTGTCTTCTTTGGAGCTTCAGAGCAGTGTCAGGCTGCTCCTTTTTAACTCTACAGGCTCCCTGCTCCTGGTGAAAGGGAGAGGCCACTCCCAACAAAGTCAAGTAAGACAGGATCCCTGCTGGTTCTGTGCCTGAACTTTGACTGGAAAAGCAAAATTAACCCACCAAGGCCCATAACAAAATTAAAGTCTGGGTTTAGTAACTGATGTCTGGTTTCCAGCCCCTGTGGAAGAGAAGGGATTACCTGCTCCTTGCCAAAGTTTAGTGCTTCCCATCGCATTGCCCGGCCATCGTGCACCAGCTGGGCCACTGTAACATCATAAAACTGTCTCAGCTGGAAGAGGAAGTTCCTCATGTTTTCAGGACTCCAGGTGTCAAGAATGCTGAAGATATTTTCTAACATAACATTGGCAGCTATTTTCTTCCCTTCCACCACTTCTTTGTTTTTATCGACAATATAGGTACCCCAAATTTTTTTAAACATAGAAGGCCTTGCACACACGATGTCATCATACTGGTGCCACTCTAGAACAGCAACACAACAGGAAAACAGTCATTGAAATCACATCACCCTTCCAGCTGCCCACAGAAATACCCCCACTGGCCCATTAAGCTTCCAGCTGCAGGCAGGGCCATCTAACAGGATTGCTGGTCCATGTGACAGCACAAATCATCCCAAATCAGACCATGGATCACCCAATGTGCAGGTCCAGGCTCACCTCCATTGTTGAGCCAGGTGCTTTTTATCAATAAGCAGCGATTCACAAATTTATCTACTGGAGGCTTGTAAATGAACTCGTACTGCCCATTGTCACAGGTCACCCAGTACTTGTAAGGAATGCATTTATCCAGGATCTCTTTCGTGAGGGTTACAGTGCCTTCAATGAGGTATCCATGCTCTCCCAGATTCCTAGGAAACAAAAAACACAGCAAAGGCAGGCATAGGACATGTCAGCTGATCTACAGACTTCCTTTTCCATGCATCACTCCATTTTTAATCAGAATGGTGATTAAACAAGAACAGTTTTAAAGCAGTTTTCCCCACTGTGAAACCCTCTGTAGCAACACCAACCCATGGACACAAAGCCCCAGCCTTGAGGCACCACACTGATCCTGTTCTCCAAAGCTCTCCTGTGCCTGTGTGCCTCGAGGTACTCACCTGGTGCAGGTCATCTCACAGATGTTTTCCTTCCACTTTGCATAGGGAGAAACACCCTCAGCTCTGATGAACACTTTATGGGCCTCGGGGTTCAGTCCGAAGTCTTTGGATAATATTGCATGGAAATACACTGTAACACCCCCCTCACGGCTCACGGGGCTGCAAGAAAGGATCAGAAGGGAAACAGAAAAAATTCTCTTTTTTTCCTTTTAATTGCACAAATCATTATAAACCACAAATCAGATCTGAGCCACCAGCTGACTGGCTGCAAGACTCATAATTTCTGGCAGCAGGTCACTCAGATTGGTGTTAGAGCAGGCCTAGTGCAAAGCCCAGTGCAAATAGAAACACAGGCTCCTCAAGGCAGCAGGAAAGGCTCTGGCCCAGCAGAGCCACCTGGAATGGATGAGCTTTCTCCCTCCTCCAGCTCACACACATTAAAAACCCTCTTCACACCATTAATCTAAAGAGTAATGTGTGTGAAGCACGTGTTGCTCATAAGAGCAAGAAAGAAGAGGGTGATCTTGTTTTTATTCATCAGATGCTCGAGCAGGTTCAAGGACCACCTGTGCCACATCACCTGTGCTGCAGCTCCCACTGAACACTGGCTCTCTTGTGCACGAGCACTTCACCTCAGTTTTAAGGCAATTCTATCTCCACACATCCAAGGTACACCTAACCCCAGTACCTCAGTCCCCCACCTCAGTCTGGAGTCCTCCAGTCCTCCTCACAGCAACTCCTCCCACTGAAGAATGCTGGGGAGCAGCGGGGCTGTTCTCACCTTTCCTTAATCTTTTCCACACGTTTCTGGTTGCTTTGCTCCTTTTTGTTCTTGCAAGTGTCTGCTGCAGCTGCAGCACCAGCACCATCCTTTCTGGCAGCCTCAGCTCCCTTGGTGGGACTGCTCTTCTCACTCACTTGAGGCATTTCCTTACTTGTGCTCTTACTTTTCTGCTTTGTGTTTTCATTCTGCAGCAGAGAGACAGACAATGCCCAGTGAAACAGGAGACCCTGGAAGTGCAACACCTGCTCAGCCAGGTGGGGATACCCAGCACTCACAGCACACCACCAGCTTCATCCTCCTGGAAACACTGATCCCTCACTGAGGGAAGCTGCTGGTTAAGGAAAGCAGTGCACAGCGGAAGAGGAATCCAACCCCAACACACCGCCAAGCAGTCAGGCCAGTGAGCCCCAGGTGCCAGAGGATGGGGCATAAAGAAAGTGAAGGAGAACCCACAGCAACTTCCAGCTCACCAGGCCTGTGTGTGAGCAGAGCACAAACACCCACAAAGGACAAGGATCCCCTTTCCTGAGGAGATCTGAGAGCCCCCTGGAGAGGAGACACCTCCCAGCTCCCGGGGGCAACTGAGCGACCCCTCAGTGAGAGCAGGGCTGGCACTAACACCCAGGAGAGCAGGGCTGCAATGAGAACCCCCCCAGAGTGCTCCCCTTGTCCCTGGGCTCGTGCTCCTCAGCTCCACTGACAGCACAGACGCGTCCCAGCTGGAAAGGGAAGCTTGGCCCAACTCCATGGAATACTCACCGGAGAGTTCTCTCCCACCTTGCCAGTGTTCCCCTTCTGCCTGGGGTCCTGTTTGTTCTTCCCAGCCTGTGGGCTCTGGGCCACAGGTGAGGTCTTAGTGTCCGGTTTCCTCTTGGGCTCCTGGGCAGGAGGCAGCCCAGGGGCAGCACTTGCTCCCTGCCCTGCTGAGGCCACGTTCTTACTGCTGCCCTGGGACTGGGAACCTGCTCTGGTTTCTGGAAGCTGGCCAGGGGCACGACTGCCCTGTTCCACGTTAGCCCTGATGGTTTCTCCGTGCTCTGTGGTTCTTCCATCCCCCAGACTGTCCCTTGGGGCTGCAGAGCTGGGAGCTGGGGCAGCCTGGCTGGCGGTGCCGCTCTGCTTTGGTGGGGTCAGCCCATCTGCTTCCAGGCTGGCAGGTTCCTTCCCCGGGTGAGCCAACGCCCCATCGCCTTCAGCTGTGCCTCCACTGGCATCAGCAAGTACATCAGCACCGGGTTTTGCTGCCTCACTGCCGGGGGCTTGGATTTCTTGTGGAAAAACACATGTATCAGGCAATTCTGTGGTTTGAGCTGGGGCTGTGCTTAGAGGTGGCAGAGAGTCCTGTTCCCCGGAGCTAGAAGGACATTTCTTTACTTTATTCCTCTTCTTTTTCTATTAAAAAAAAAAAAAACCAGAAACAAACACCACAATGTCTGTTTATTCATTGCCAAAGAGAAATTCTTTGTCACTTCCTCCACTGCAGCAAGTGCCGACATCTTCCTGCAACGCTGGGTAAACAGAGAGCGACCAGGAAGAGGAGGGACAAGCTTGTGAAATGCTAATAACTCTCGGGAATTCTGCAGTTTTAATATTCAAGCCTTGCTCAGCAGGAGCACGGGGCAGTGCTGCAGTGAACTGCGTGCTGTTTCCCCAGCAGCACAGGCAGTGCTGGGGGAGCTGCAGGCCCAGCACAGCAACGTCAGCAAACACAGCACAGCTCCCTGGAGGAACCCGGGCAGCAGCTCCCCGGCGTGGCCACAGGGATCTGCAGGATGCAGCCCAGCCCCAGAGAGGAGAGCAACAAGTCACAGCTGCTCCTCAGCACCGACCAAGAGCCTCACCTTCCTCTGTGATGTCCCAGCAGAGTCACCAGCCCCGCACTGAGCCGTGGGCTGTGAGCTGTCACTTGGAGCTGTCACATCCTCCGGCAGCGAGGATCCCTCTTCCCCCTCCTGTGTTTCAGCAGGGGGAGGAGCCCCACCTGCAGAGCATTCAGGTGTGGTGTCTGAGGGGTTGATCAGAGCCCTTGCATTATCCATCAGCAATTCTCCCTCTGCCTCCTTTTTTTCAATGGTGGAAGAAGGCCTGGCAGCACCTTCTCCCTTCACCTCTGATCCTGCATCAGGGACTGGAGAGAGCTGCACCTCTCTTCTCTCTGCAGTGGAGGTAAAGTTCATTGTTAAACTAGAGACTCACCCCCCAGTGGGGTCACAGAATGGGTTGGAAGGGACCTTAAAGCTCATCTTGTTCTACCCCCTGCCATGGGCAGGGACACCTTCCACTAGACCAAGTTGCTCCAAGCCCATGGATGGGGAGACAATAAAAAAAAAAGTAGCACTCATGGGTTCAGTTTAGAAAGACAGTTTAATAGGAGAGAAAAGGAAAGGAAAATTATGATAATAACTAGAGAATATAGCAAGTGATGCACAGGGTGGTTGCTCACCACCCACTGACTGATGCCCAGACAGTCCCTGAGCAGTGGCTGTCACCCCCCCAGCCAAATCCCCCCAGTTTTTTCTTCAGCACAATGTCCTGTGGTCTGGAACATCCCTTTGGGCATTGGGGTCGCCTGTCCTGGCTGTGCCCCCTCCCAGCTTCTCGAGCCCCCCAGCCTCTTGCTGGCCAGGCAGTGTGAGAGGCTGAGAAGTCCTTGGCTCAGTGTAAGCACCACTCATCAGCAGCAGAGCCAGCAGGGTGTTATCAGCAGGATTCTCATCCTGAACCCAAACATGACTCTGTAGCAGCTCCTTGGAAGAAAACTAACTCTGTCCCAGCCAAAGTCAGGACGGGAACACAGAGGAGCTGTTTTGTTGCTCCCTGTTCCACAGCTCCCACCAGCAGTGCCACCACTCCCCCTGCACAGCCTCCTGCCCCCGCCCCAACCCCAAGGCCCTGCCAGCAGCAGAATAATTAAGGAACCACAGCACTGAGGTCCTGCTCCAGCCCTGCCCCTCCTCTGGACACGCTGCCTGTCCAGCACTCACAGACCCCCAGGACGAGCAGTGACAGGACACTGGCTCCTCTCAGCTGTCACAGCCTTCTGGGCTGGCTGTGTGACCACTCCCACACAGCTGAGTCCTTTCCAGGAAGGCAGGGGAAACTCCCTTTTAATCTTCATAATTTTATCTAGTCCTTAAAAAACCTGTGAAAAGGCAGCTCAGGGTCAAGTCAGGCAGAAGAGCAGATCTCTGCCTTTCTGCAGGGGTTCCACAGGCTCCCCTGCACAGCCTCTACCCCAGTTCTGAGTGCAAAAGCTTTGAATCTCAGCTGCTTTTGATGTCCTTCCTACAGCATTCTAGAGCTGGAGACCCCAGGTTTGTCACCCTGCCACACTGGACTGCAGAGGGATTTGCCAAGAACTGTCCAATCAGCACTGCACTCTTAAGATACCACTTCTTCCTATCAACAAACCAAAAGCCATTCTGGTGGCCCAGGACATTCTGCCTTAAACAAATAAAGGATTAGGAAATATTTTCCCCACCATAACAGTGCTGTGTACTTAATTCTGTCACTGTTCAGAAAGGCAGAATTAGTGTGTTCTAAACATAATAACAAGATGCAAGTAGGATACTCTGGTTCAGGAGCGACTCAACCAGTCTTTGTAACACAAAAACCAGTCCCAGTCATTGGCAAAACAGAAATTAGTTCAACACTGGACACCTGTGTGTGGAGGCTGTGTGTAGGATATGCCAGCAGCTGACTCACTTCTCCGTCCCCTATCAGTCACTGCAAAGTGAGAAAAACTGTCTCTGGTCAGGAATGCAAGGGGAGTTCGGGATGAGAGTTTGGGATGAGAGCTGTGTAATGCCCCGGGCAGAGCAGAGCCCGGAGCCACACAGGCAGCTGGGATGAAAAGCACCAGGACACCGTCAGCCTCTGGTCACTGTGCAGCCCCAGCTCACCCCACACCTCCTACCTGGGTCCTGGTCCCCAGGGACGGCGCCGGGAGCCAGGCTGGCCCCACACTTGCTGCAAGAGCCGGGCGGGCCATCCCCAGAAGCGAAGTGACACACTTGGCACTGCATGTTCCTGGTCGCAGGCCCTGCGGGGACCTTGGGAGCCACGAGGGGAGAGAAGGGGACAGGGCAGAGAGAGAGATACCGACATTAAAGTGTGATAATGGAACTTTGTCACATCACCCTCAGCCTGGCTCCGTTTTATCATCTGGAAACAACCTGTGACACCGGAGAGCGTGGGGAGGTGGGAACCACAGACGCATTAAAAATAATTAAGTACAAACAGCAGCTCCCCCTGCGCTGAGGCCTCGTGCAACGAACGGACCTGGGTCACACCGCGCTCCCTGCCCGGAGCCCTGCGCGGGGCTGCGCCCGCCGGGCTGGGCTCGGTCCGGTTCCCCTGGGCAGGGTCGGGGGTCGGGCAGCAGGAACCGTCTCCCCCTGGGCTGGGCTCGGTCGGGTCCCCGTGGGCAG